AGCATTTTCAGTTTTTTCTGTTATTATTTGGATGGAAACTGAGCTTCTGAAACATGCGCAAAGTGTCAGAACCCAAATTGCAAGAAGAAAAATATTATGGATCAAGTTGTAATAAGTACTAAACTTTGAGAACTAGTTTAGCAATTGTCATTATTATTATTTCAGTGTTTGCATTGATATGCCCATTTGCAGAGATACTTTAACGTTCAGACATACTGCATCTTAAGGAGTCTTCTTTTTTTTTTCAATAACTGGAAGAGAGAGAGAGAGAGAGAGAGAGAGAGAGAGAGAGAGAGAGACTCTACTTCTCAAAAAAATTTCAGTCTTTTTTGAATGCTGATGTATTTTTAACCATACCAATCTCAACTTTTGTTAGTTAACCTAAGGCCAGTTCTGACAATTAGAATGTTAAGAAATTGGTGGTAAGTGTTTTGTATGTGATGATCGCATTGATGCAGATTTTTGTTTTGCTTGTAATGATGTCAACTGTTCTATTACTTTTCTCAGTGTAGGTTCAAATATTTTTATTTATTTATTTTTGGTGAAACTCATTGGGAATAACAGTACCACATTTATAATCTTAAAAGGAAACATTTGAGAAATAATAAAAGGAGTCATTTTTAATTACTTTTAATGCTTTGAGCTAATGTTATTAGTGAGGGATGGAAATTTACTGGCTTCTATTCAATACTCCAGTTCCGATTGGTTTGAATGTGATGTTATGGTGTTTAATATGTTGCACATGTTTGGCAATATGATGTGTTCTTATTATTATTTTTCTTCTTTTTATTTGCATTTGGAATTTCTCGGAGGAGTTTAGTCAAACCTGAAATTTCTGTATTATTAATTACAGGGCGGTGCTTTATGGTTCCAGAATTTGACAGAATTTCCTCATGGTGTTTTAGGGCCTATCTTTCCACTGATGATTGCTTGTTTGCATTACACTAATGTTCAGGTATTTGATTGTCTATCCTTTTCTTAGAATAAGTGTAAATCTCCGACTCTCCTTCCCCTCCCCCCTAAAACCGTTTGTAGCATTAGAAACTTAAACAAAGATTTCTTTGAGTCTGTAGACTGTTTATGTTGCCATTTTATATTATGCTTTTGATTATTATTGAGTAAAATAGAGAGAAAAGATTTCTGTTTATTATGAACAACATTCAAGTTATTTTTACAGCATGTATATTTTAAAAGGAGAACATGACTTTCCTAAGACATGCCTGAATATGGAATCCCATTGATCTAAGAAATCTACAGATTTTCGTCAAATAAGGAAAATAAAGATTTTGTGCTAATTAGGTTGAATATGCAGCTTTTCAACAGTTACTTTTTCCACATGTAGCTGACAACAATTTCTTTCTCCACATTTCCTTTCAAGTTGGTGAATATGGATCTATCTTTCCTACTGCCAACAGTACTCCGTAACACTTGTGTTACTTAGTCCTTTTGTAAAGCATATACAAGCTGACCTCCAGTTGGAACATAAAATGTTTATCAACCTCAATAAGTTTTGTCTGATTGTGTTGTGCTGAATTATGTACGATATGTATTGCTGATTTATTACTGCAGTACAACCTCATTGGACCTCTGTCTTATCTTCAATTCATCAAGAACAATTTTTAACCATAGCAACTCAAAGTCCGTAGCGCCGTAGATAAGAATTCTGCTTCTGTGCTCGATCTAGCCACAACATTCTGCATCTTATTCCTCCATGTTACTAGATTACCGTCCAAAATTGTACAATACCCCAAAGTAGACCTTTTATCAAGTAGTTAACCTACATAATCAGCATCAATATATGCTTCAAGTACTAATTTATCACTTCTTTTCAAGAGAATCCCTTTTCCTGGGCTTCCTTTCAAATAGTCCAGGATTATATAAGCTGCATGCAATTGTACTTCCATGGGGTTCATGCATAAACTAACTTATCACATTGATTGAATATGCTATATCTATTCTTGTATTCGATAAATAAATGAGTTTCTCAACTAGATGTTGGTACATCTCTCAACAGTAAGCACTTCACTAGCTTTACCGAGTTTATGTTAGGATCTGTAGTAATTGTAGCCAGCTTATTAGCTAGTCTTCCTTTTGTTTTAGGAGATCAGCAAAATATTTCTATTAGGAAATGAAGATCCTCTATTTGGAATGAGCTACCTCAATATCTAGAAAATACTTTTGCCTTCTTAACTCCTTTATTTCTAACTCACTAACTAAATGTTCCTTCATCACCCACATTTCTATTGCTAGTTTCAATTATATTATAGCAATTTACTAAATTAGTCCCCAAAATTTAGCACTTATTACAGTTTGGTCGTCAAATTTTTTTATTGTTACAATTTGGTACCTAATGTTTTGCATGTGTTTCAAAAGTCTAGTTTCTATCTATTTCCTAACATAAGAAACTTGAAATGGTAGACAAATTTTAGATGCTTTACAAAATAGCTTTCTTTGAATTTTAAAAAACTAAAAATTAGAAAAAAATTGTTAATCAACACCAATCTCTCTCTCACCCTTTCATATCTTCTTTTTATGTTTTATAATATTCTCATATTTCATTTGACATGTGTAATATTAAAATTTGATGTCTGTGATACTATTAATTCTCTGCATAGTAGTTATTGGCTGCAGAAGTAATTTGTGTTTCAACTAAAAACTTAGCTAAACATATCTCACTTTCAATGGGTATTTGACATCTAATTCAAATTTAATCGATCTGCTGACTTGAGCATTTGTATTCAGATTTCTTTTAGGACATCTTCAATTCCGAAAGATACTGGTCTCTTTGGCTTATTAGCAAAGGTTAGTACTTGTTTTTACATTTGGTTCGAGTTCTTTGATTGGCTTGACTATGTTTCATTGACATTGACTGGTAAAGATGTTGCACACTTTTTTGTTTTTGTTTCCTCCTGCAGTTTTTGTCTCCCCTTTTGTGTTTGGCATAGTATCATATTTCTCTCTAGTAACTGGAATTATCTTCCTTTTTGCAGTACTACAAATTCTATCTGGATCTTCTGACACTACCTTTAATCTTCATTTGCTACTGTATTCCTCAGGTTATTTAATATTCTACCCAACACACCCATCTCCAATTTCATAGTTAATTTACATTATTTCATACTAGATAATTTTCCCACTAAGAATCATTCCGGGAATGATTTCAAATAATGGGTTGAGATTCTCATTGGAATTCATTTATCTTCTTATACAGAAACAATATTCAATGAGTTGTATGTTATCATTATGTCAACATTTTTTGTATGGAAAAAAGAAGATACTCAAATCCTCCTAACAACCAAGGAAAAAAAACAAAAAAACGTAGAATTAATAAAGGGGGCAGATGTCATATAGAATAGTCTCTTGATTTTTGTGCATAAAAGACTATGCAAATCATCCTAGCCCAAATAAAATCTGTAAAATTGACTTGTTTGGAGATCTTGACTTTTGGCTCCAATTACAAAAAAAAAAAACAACCAGCAAAAAAGGGACCCCTCCATAACATTTTATGCTTATTATTCTTCAAACAACCCCTTATATAGTGAGAGAGAAACACATCGCGACAAACTTCCCAAAAGAATGTAGAAAGCTTATTTGATAGCTGTATAGCGACCTCTAGATGCAAAAACAAATAGTTATCCCCTTCATCTCTCAGGGGAGTGGGACTAAGAAAGAAGCTATGATACTTCCAAGATGAGCTTTCTTCATTGGTTTATGGGTGTTGTTGAAGTGTAATGCTAGATTTTGCAAGGATTGCTGTTTCTCTTCGTTTTTAATTGGAATGAAATGGTTTTCTTTGCTTCTTTCTGGGCCAAGTGTCATGGATTCTTCAGATATTTTCAAAAGGACTGGCTGCGGCTTTGTTTTAATTTTGTGTTATTTTTCATTTTTCGTTCCTTTTGTTGGCTTAAGGATTTCTTGATCTCTGTTTTTTTTTTTTTTTTTGCCTTTTTTTTTCTCTCTAATAATGTTTCTTCCTTTTTTCTTACATTAAAAAAACAAATGGGTATCTGCCTCTAAAGCTTGAAAGCACATTGCACAATTATTGGAAAAGTAGCTATATTTGGCTGATATATTAAAAGCAAAATTATTAGCATTGATCAACTACTGTCCAAATAAAGACACTAAAGCCTAGAGAGGATGTTCTTCTGTATAAAAGAAATGA